AGTCTAATTTATAAGCTTCTTTTATCAGCTGCTTCGTCACTACTTCTAATTTCCACCCTTTGACTCATCTTTGGGATTAATGACTGAACTTTCTGTGGCAGTGAACTCTCCAAATGTATTTCTGAGGGCCGTTTTAAAGTTGATTCAAAGATGAGAATTTGCCTTCTTGGTTATCTTTACCTCTGGCAGATGGATATGTATGTTCATATCTCTTGGATAACTCTGGTACATTACAATAATACTTGTAATTGCAGTAAGTAGGTAAATAAATTAAGCACATAAGAGACAATTACACGCAGGTCTCCTTTACTAGCCTGGTTTGGCTAGGTCTCCATTAGAGGCCTGGTCTTGACTATATAGAAGTTCTTCGAACGTATAAAACCTTTTAAGCGAGTTTCTAAGCTGCTTAAATCGCCTCCACAAATATAAACGTTTATAATAGTTATATATTTGATCAATTTAAATCAACAATTTGAATTTATTTCTGATTATTTTGCAGGTATTTGGCAATAAATTGGACAAATTAAAATGAGAATTGAAAAGATATCATCGAAGTTAAGTCCAGTAGCTGTCAAATTATTTCACCAAAAACAAAGTATGTCAACTTTATAGTGGCACTAAAGGAAAAGTCAGTAGGATTCATTCTCAATCTATGTTGAGATATTCTAGTTTGGACCAACGTGACTGACTGACAGACCGACCCTGTCATCCTTAGAGACACTATTTTAATAGCTGAACATTAAATACAATTAAATTAGCATTTATTTGTATAGTAACAAGAATAAAAATGATTCAACTTAATTATAAAACATGAAACAGATTAGTTGTGTCTGACGGATAATTTGGTTATTTACTGTTCTGGTATTAATAGCCCTTCTCTTAACGTAGTTATAAAGCGCTTTGACAAAGAACAAAGGAAACCGTAATAAACTGATTTGAATGCATATTATGTACAATGGTCCACTTCACTGTGGATATTGTTTATTGTGGTATTAAATCAATTCAACACAGACGTCTAGGGAACTTCAAAGCTGAACTGATTATAATGAGATGCTTTGATCAAACTCCACGTGTGCGAAGGAACATTTGTTTTATTGGTTATCCAGCAATATGGAAGTAATATGACCTGTTTGACAACTTCATCTGAAATCAGAAGTGTTTACAGTTGTTGAAACACCGAGGCCGTCGCAGAGAGGGAAGGAGGAGATAATCAGGTAGTCTCTCCTTGGGGACATTCGCAGCATTGTACTCGGTTGGTTGTCGGAGTGAAAAGCAGCAGAAATTGAGAGTTGAGAGAGAAGTAGAAACCCTCTCTCAACTCCTCTCACAGCTGACCTCTCGCAGCGTGAAGTGGAAAGTGAAAGTTACAGAACTGGTTGGACGCAGACGAGGTTTCTGAAGCTGTTCGACCCTCCGACAAGCACGTCTGACTGAGGATACTGGCTGCTTTAGTGTCTCGTTGCCCCAATAAATAACAGGAATAAACCTGATTATGTTCACATCTCACTCCACATATTACAATAACTCCTGTTGGTGTCTAGCGTCCTTTACACTGACCTCATAACCTGTGAATTTAAACTTCGACCCCTGCTCCTGCGTGACCTCCTTGTCTGTGTGCTTCATCAGCTCCGTCCCGATGGCAAACCTCTGGCCCTGGAGACGCAGAGGGACATTATTTACACCAAATAAAACACAGCCCCCAGAGACGGTTATATTCATCAGTGGCTGTGTAACTCACCGTGTAGATGTCCAGGTTTCTACCCTGGAAGCTGATGGGGATTTCAAAGCCTACGGGGATTAACAGCGGCTCCGGAGACTCAAACTGAGGACAACTGTCACGCTGTAGCACAGAAAGACAAACAGAAGCACATAATAGTACAGTACAACCCTTCAAATCATCATCTACAGATATATTTTACTACCATTGGAAGTCATTTGACATGAAATATGGTTTGAGAGTTAACAGTTTTTCAGTCATTTTGAATTAGGGCTGCAACTAACTGTTATTTTCATTATAGATTAGATGAATTTTTTGATTAATTGCTTTTTAAAAGCCCAAAGGGATGTCTAGAAAAGTCTTGTTTTGTCACACCAAACAGCTTGAAACTCAAATATATTCAGTTTACACCGATAAAAGCAGCCAGTACTTGCTTAAAATCTGACTTTGGTTTACAGTAATCACAAAATCTTAGGAATGGCAAACGTATTAGACAAGAAAATATGCATTTTTCCAACAAAATAAAAATAAATTAAAAAAGTTATCAAGTAAAATAACTCATTAACATCAACAAGTCACAGATTTTATTGTCCAAACAGTACAACCGTGTCAGTGTGAGAAGCAGTAAGCGTAACAGCTGGCTTATACCTATACCTATACAAAATTTAAAAAACAGTAATTTTGTGGTCAGTTTTATGTTGAACATTTCAAACCTCATGATATTTGTTTGTTGTTTGTTTTATTTGATCCCCATTAGCTTCTGACGCTAATCTACCTGGTGCACACATTAAAATCCTCTCTCTCAGTTTTCTGGGTGCACACACACACACACACACACACACACACACACACACACACACTTACCTGTTGTGGTTTAACGATGTGATCTCCACCTACACCGTCGTCTCTGTCGCTGCAGCTGTGATCCCGAGCGTTCCACTGACAGCCCCATTCGCTGGTCACACACGCTATACACCTGAAAACACCCCAGATGTTAGGATGTGAATGTGTGTTTGTGTGTGTGTGTGTGTGTGCGCGTGTGATCTATCTTACGGTGTGTTTTGGTTCTTCCTGACGGTAGCAGCACAGTTGTAGAAGTGATACTCTCCAGACGTCACCTCGATTTGGTTGTTTACGAGAATCTTGACTGGGACGGACACGTAGTCTGAACACACACACACACACACACACACACACACACACACACACACAGATACAAGGATAAAGTGAGAGACATATACAACATATGTGAATTATGTGAGGCTCTGTAAAATCCAACTACCAGCACCACCAAAGCTCATTTTTAACACATTATATAAGAGGTTTTGTCACTTTTAGACAGAGGCAGGCTAGCTGTTTCCATGTGTTTCCAGTGTTTATGCTAAGCTAAGCTAAGTGTCTCCAGGTTGTAGCTTCATATTTAGCATGCAGACTCGCCCAGTGGCACTGATCCTCTCATTTTACTCTCAGGAAGAAAGAAAGAAAGTATTTCTTTTTTGTTTTTTATGCATATTAAGAAAAAACAACCCAGTATTTTCTGAAAGGATTGAATAAGTTTTAACACCTAAATTTTATATTCAAATGTATTTAAAGATATTCAGTTTCCTGCTCCAAGAGATCAGAGTTGATGGCAGTAAAAATGCTTCTTCGTTTTTAAATAAATAAATAAATAAAGCCTTGTAAATTGTTATGGTCAGGATGTCCAATCTTGCTGAAGGCATGGCAAATATATTTGTATAGCACCTTTCAACAACAAGACAATTCAAAGTGATTCACAAAAGACATAAAAATGCGCGACGGCAAGATATAAAAGAAACACAAGGCAATATAACAGGACGTATAATTAGAATTTTAAAAGAGCAAAAAGAAAATAGAGGCTATTATTAAAAGCAAAACAGATTTAACAGGAGAATAAAAAGAAATTTGATTGCATTACAGTGCAGTGAGAGATATGAATGAGTGCAACCAAATTTAATTTAATACAAACTAGTGGTGAATAGAAAAGGTTTGAGCCTTGAGAGTTGGAGCAAACGTCAAGTTTGTACCTGATATGTGGTGTTTTAAAAAACCTTTTTGTGTGTAATTTTTCAGTCTCTATAAACCAACAGTAGTATTTTAAAATCTAATCTTGTTGCTGGTTGAAAGAGCTGCCTGCTTGACGCCACTCAGGGAAAAAAAGTCCACTTTAAAATGACAAATGAATCCATGTACGAAGAGCTGTAAATCCTCCACGTGTCCACCTACCTTGCTGGTCGGGAGTGGGTGGGATTTCCACGGGGTCGGGCAGCGAACAGGTGATCAGCCCCTGGCTGCCAAAGGCCATCACGGCGTCACTGATGAAAGAGCCGAAAACACACTGCAGCCTATCGGAAGGCCTCAGTCTGGGGTGGCTGGGTATATGGATATCAACCTAGGGAAAGAGAGAGAGTGGGGTTAACAGAGATACGAGGGAGAACCAGAGGGAGGAGGAGGAGGAGGAGGAGGAGGAGGAGGAGGAATCGGGAGAAAAATGTCGAGGGAAGAGTTGAGTGAAAGATAAGTAATTATTTTTCTCCTCACAGCTCAACTGGCTGCAGTGAGATAAAGAAACGAGTTAGTGTTGGACAGAGAAATAAGAGTGTTTTTCTGAGTTTGGGGAGTGACTGGCAGGATAGGAGGAGTGTGACAGGGTAATTAAAGTAAAAACTATATGTATTTACACTCAATAGTCTTAATAGCTATTGTTACCAAGGTTAAGTGGATTGCTAGCGAGCTGTTGGTCAACTAACATTACCCAAGCGAACGTATTGGTGCTTTCCATTTGATCTGGGAAGTCGGAATTTCTGGAAATTTCAACTGGAACGCCGCAGTTGAAGTTGGATTTCCAACCAGAGAAAGTCGTAAGATAATCACCAACCCCGGCTTAATCAAGAATCTTTTTTAACCCAGAAAATTGAGTTTGTTGTCACTGTTTTGATGTAATCAGTTTGACTCCAAAGTTTTGATTTAAATTCACTTTTTCCACTATATGCTCAATTATTTAACTTATTTTCTTATTAAACATATTATTACTTATTAAATATTCTTTTATAAAAAGTATAAGAGTTATTTGTTTTAGAAGGCAGCCCTATGAATACCTTTACATAATCATATCAGTGCAAATCCCACACATAAAAGCTCTATTTCCATTCCAGCTGCTAAATTCACAATATCATCACTAGATTAGTAATCAGTGAATATTTCACCTCTAAAAGTCGGTCTGTATTTCATTACCTCCATATTCATGCTAATAGCATATTAGATTTGTATTTTATGTTAAGGAGGGACGGTGTATCTGTGTTTGTGTGTGTGAATGAGCAACAAAGAGGTGTATCAGTGAGAGAGAAGAAATAATAAGTACAACCGGTTGCCCTCGATAAATTGTGCACACACATCTTCCCATGTGTGCTGCAACCATGCAACCATGTGTGTCTACGTGTGCGTGGACTTCAGAAATAATTGATATTCAACTGTGGTGTTCAAACATCAGTTCCTCATTACTCCTCGCTGACCTCAACCAGTTTAATTTCACTGCTAAAGTTTTAATTTTAAAACTTTTTGATCTCGGGTAACGGAGAAGCCCCCTGAATGAATTCACCCGAGACTTTTTCCTCTTTTTAAGAATGTAAAGCTGCATGAGGCAACGTTTTTTTCTTTTAAGCTCAAATCCTTATCAGATTAAAATCACAAACTAGGGGAGCTGCAACAGAGACGACAGTCCCAAACTCCCTGATTAACATGCAGCAGATTCTTCTATCTGGGCCCATAAGAAGTTCTGGTGTTTGCAGAGGTCAAACTTAAAGTTGTTTGTTCTGACAAAGCTGCAGCAAACTCCTTCCCACCAGAAACAATCATCATCTCAAAGGGTTCACAGGTAATAAAGTGCAAATTTAAATATTTGGGACTGCCAGTGTGCAAAGCTGTGCCATTTCTGACTGTATTTGTGACTTCCTAACGTTATTAGAGCGTCTCCTGAAGCACAATGCGATGCATGACAATTTAAAATCCCATTAAAATTTGAGAATAAGCAGAGTTGCAGTGATTCTTAAGTCACAACCTGAATACTTGACTGCTTAGAGACTTGACTACAGACCGGACTCCCTAAAGACTTGACTTAATAACTATATATACACTATAGAAGTACATAAATCATAAATGAAGTGTGAGGTTTAGAGTTGGTAAAATTCTGGATAATAAAACATTAATGAGACAGAAGCAGGCAGGCCTCGCACAGAAACCCTGTCTTATGAAAAGGATGCTCTTATACAAATGATTTGCAGTAGCTAATACTGTACATATTGGGGCTTTGATGTTTTTTAAAAATCAGGGATAGATAAAGATGGTGGCTTTCGGTAAAAAATCAACAGTTTTTTTCCCAATCTTTAAGATTATGTCATATGTGTCATAGAGCAACATTATATAATCAAAAAAGAGTAATTAAAGGACCAGTGTGACGGATTTAGTGGTTTAAAATCAGCTCTAAAATTTACAAAGTCTTCAAAAGAAACTTCTTTTATTTATAACTTACTTCTATTTGCATATTATTTGTTATAACCTGACCTGATTGCGATTATCACGCACCCATAATTTATACGTTTTGTCGCCCCCTCATCACCAATGTTACAATCTACATACAGAACACATTTCGGTCCTCTGATCAACCCTCAGACTGTTAACATCTGAGCGCTGAACTGCAGTAAGCTTAATTACATAATGAATAAGTATGTGCACAGCTGACCGCGTGTGTCAGACTAAACCTGAGCGACGTCGAAGAGCAAGTAGTTATTCTAGGAAGGCGTGATGGGAGGGAAGGTTAGTCGACAGTCTGGTGTTGTGCATCTTGAAGGACGACGTGTCTTTTCTGGCAAATCAGCTCTTTGATCAATACCTCATTAATTCAGAGAGCTCAGCCGTCAGATTCAGATCCTCGTATTCTAGTGTTCAGAGGGAAAATGCCGCCACAGCGTTTTCATTTTGAATTTCATAGTGTAAAGACATTAGTTTGCTCAACATACGGCTGAGATACTAGGGGTTTACCCTCTCCAAAATCTTCTTTAAAATCAAAAACACAAGCGCAAAAAAGTGTAAGAAATACATTAAATAGTGTGTTTGTCTGCTGTGATGTAAGCTGAAAATGTTAGCATGCAACTCCATTTGATGTTACTTTATATATTTATTCCACTACATTTCAGAGGGAAATATTGTACTTTTTACTTCAATAGTTACTTTACAGATTCTGATTATTAATATAAAATATTATAAACAAATAAAATATATATTATTATTATTAGGTATATAATTGTATACTAAGCCACCCAGCAGTATATAAAGTAATCAGAATTAGCACCACCTTTACTTCAACAATGTAATACAATAATTCCTCAGTGGTTATAATCCAGTATTATATATTATTCTGAAATGGGCCAATCTGCATAATAAGTACTTTTACTTTTGGTACTTTAAGTATATTTTAAGGCTAATGCTTTTGTACTTTAACTTACGTACCTGTATTACAGAATTTGTTGTGGTATTGCTGTTTTTGTCATTGTCTAAGTACGGGTTGTGTTTAAAATGAGGTTATAGTTAATCATCAAACAGTGTTACGTTAGAATTAAATTGTTTTATTTCCATGTGTTCATCAACTCTTTAGGTTGTTTGCCTGGGGCGTGTTAGCTTTAGTCTCACTCTTTTAACATAATATTATGTAAGTAGCCGTCAAGTGAATATTATTATATATAAGGCCTCTATACAGCTGGAATCATTATAAAGTCAGCTTGAGACATCATTTTCAAGCACTTTTCAAAAATTACACAATAAAATGGTGTTAAATCTGTAAAACTAAAATATGTACCATGTGGGAATGGAAAGCTTCACAGGCTTAGCAACAGCTAATAAAAGGAGAACAAAATTCTAACATTATTTGGCTTTCATCAGGGAGAGAATCACTGTAGACCTTCGTAATATTGAAATCTTTGTCACAGAGTCAATAATGACTAACAGTGTTGTTCTGAACCTAAATGATATTATCCCTGTTGGTGCTGTTACTCATATGTGATTCACCAAAAAACAAGGTGTCATCAGCAGTTTCTGGGTGTGACAACGTTTGCAAGGAAGCATTCATTTCACTTTCAGAGCTGAATCAGCATGAAAACTTACAGAGTTGTTTTTCAAAGGAACTGTCACCACAAACAATTCTATGCAATATACTACCTGGCTCACATCCAAAAACTGTGAATTATAATGTCACTTGTGCATTAAAACACTTTGTAATTCCCTTGAGGGGGGCCCCCAGAGGTCTTCGCACCAGAGGTTAAGAACCTGTTTTGAAATCCCGCTGACAACACAGACACAGAGCCCTCCAACTCTGTTAAGCGTTTCAGGAGGTTTGACTGGTTTAAATTAAGCAGAGCTCAGCAAGAACTGAACTTAGCTCGAGGGGGGGACTCCACCACAGAGGGAAAAGACTCGGAGAAATATGCATGTTGATTCACATCCTCGAGTACCGCTCTCTCCTTTCCTACCTGCTGCGTCTTCTTGCAGCTGAGGTTGGGAGGGTTGAAGGACTGGATCTGAACACACTGCTGATCGGGGGACCACAGCCAGGTGTTTTGTTCCATCGACCTGCTGCACTCCTGCTTCCTGGTGCACCTGTGAGTCAAGCAGATGGACATCATGTAAAACCTGATAAAAAAAAGTTCGTTGAGGTGAGTGGTAGCCAAACAGTCTCACATCAGTGGTATTGTAAGTGCAAATCACCACATTAAAGTCACATTTTTCATCAGTTTTTTTTGACTAATTCAGTGTTTTCTTGTCCCTGACGGTTGGACATTGTTCTACTAACAAACTAATTCCTTAACAATTTACTTTTCTACACAGAAGTGAACCAAGTGCTGAGATATAGACCTACTATTTATAATTTTTAAGTTTTGTTGTACGCCTTAAAATTAAGAAGGCCTCACAACGCCCTGTGAAGCTTTGGTGACCCCTAGTGGGGGTCCTGAGCCCTGGGTTGGGAACAAGTGGCCTAAAGCATACCAAACTAAGACTGAAAACTGAAGAGAATTAAAAAAAAAAACACTTCAACTGAGTCTAAAACAGTGTCTTGCAGGATAATCAAACCCATTTCCCCAGGTACAAGTCCAGTCATTAACCCAGTCAGCCACCACTACTTTATTGCTACTCTTGGACTTTGGCGCCTGACTAATCCTAAAGCTTGAATGCTACGTAGGGTGTGTCTTGGCAAGTAAAGCGGTGAGATTTCTAATAAATTGATTAGGGACTACTTGTGGGGCTAGCTGGAGAACTATATAGCTGGCAATCTAACTGCTGACACACCAGCAAGACCTACTGGGCTGTTTACTTCCTGCTAGCATTTTGTTACTGAGATTGTAAATAAGTTAATTAAATAAAGTTACTAAAGAGTAGAAAAAAAGGTCTCCAACCTAGATTGCTTGATAGTTGTCACTTAGCTTGGCGCCTAACAGGATAAGTTTCAAACAGTTTATTCAAAAGACACATTTATACCACTGGCTCCGGTTGTGTTAGTGCCTGCAAACTACAGAGGAGTAAATTAAACTACAACTAATGAGCTACGATAGCTTCCTCCATTGTGGATTCTCCAGGTCTCTGTTCCCTCCAAGGTCAAGCTCAAGTCTCTCTTTTCTTCCATTGCACTACTTCTATATTTAATGGATTTTCTTATTATTATTCCTAATATTAGCAACAAAACCCAAATTTGTTTTATTATAAGTTACAGGAAATAGTCTATGTTCAGTAGACTCCTCGTAAAAGATCTGAATATTATCCAACATAATTCAAATAAGGCTGTCATCTGCTTTGGTATGCAGAACACTTGTAAAGTATTCCAAAGGAATCAGATCAAATATAACTTTATACCAACCATTAACAGAAGGGCCCATATCACTCTGTCACCACTGTAATAATACATTTTTTTCTAGCAGCAAAAGTAAGAATGTTATATAACCTTTTTCCTGGCTATATTAGTTATATCCCCACTTGGGGAGGCCCCAAAATCGAAGACAGGATAGTATTTCAGACCAGCACTTTTGTAGTTTGTTCCATTGCACTTTTATCAATATATAAACTTTTCCACCTCAACCAAGTGTAATGTGCATAAAAAAAAAAACAAGAGGATGGAAGCTCACTTAATGTTTGTTGAGACTTTTGTACACTCAAGAGTGACTCACCTTCCCTCCAGGACACACCAGCCACAATACGGATCCTTCATCGAGACGCAGGAGTGGCAGTCCGTCTTCAGGTGGCAGGCCTGGACTGGAACCTTGGTGATCTGCATGCACATGACAGGGTTTTATTGTGAAGGAGTTGTTATTGTGAACAACATGCAGACGCTTGAGGGCAAAAAGGCAACGCTGATGATCTCCAGCTCACAGTACAGCTATTCCCATAGACCCATTCAGACTGGATTCATTTCTCTAGGAAAGGTAGGGGGGGTTGACATTACCTGCTCTGATCTGTGAGCACATAACAGAGTCATTCCTCACCAAAACCCCAGTTATAATTGCACCAGCGCCATTACCTATTGATTTTCTGCAAACTCTCTTTTAAACCCCATTTTTTTAAAAAAGCCTTTACTTGTTTACATTTTAGCAAACTGGCACCATTAAAAGTTTGCTGAATGGACGTACAGGCAACTATCACTGCATCACTTTGATACTGAACTTTAAAACTTGATGATTCTCAGAAAAAGTTCTGAAGCATCTCTTTGACTTACCGCGATTGATAGCAGAGATACTAAACTGAATTATATCAATGTGTGTTTCATGGTGTGTTCAGATTTGAGTGAGTTATGACTTTGAACGGGGGAGTTCGCCTTTTATGGCTCACATAGCCTCCCCCCTTCAACTCTGCGCTGCCCTCCTGCGGAGACTTAATTGACTCTCTCATCCGGTTAAGTTAAATTACAGATGAGTTAAATTACGGAGGAGCACAGTGAATATTTCATTTCCCACCTCCCTCTGTAATGTTAATCCTGACTGAATGGGGCCTAAATAGTGCGGCTACATAAAAAAACATCCTGTATGATGGTTCCTGTTCCTGTTTGTGTTTCATAAAGGAGAATGTGTGGAGGAAGAATATAACAAAGGGAACAGTCTGGGATCCATTTAGGACATGTGTTTTGATTTTGTGTTTGTATTGCTTTACCGTCACACAGCTGTCAATAGTTTTCAGTGATTAATCACATGTTCAGAGTCACACCCAAGACGTGTGATGGATTTAAGTGTTATATGTAGATGGATTGCCGTATTATTTTTCCACTGGTGTGATCCTGTGGAACATAAATAAACCCTTTATGTATATCAACTAAAAGATTTTTCTTTGCTCATGTAATATTTTCTTGTAAAAAAGGGAGGTCTTTGGATGGTACTTTTTCTTCCGACCAGCTGTGGAAATCATTTTCCTCTCTGACAAGAAGAGGTCGGTCTAATAAATTTAAATGAGCAGATGGAACAAGCTCGAGTATCGTCACTTGACTTGATCAAAGTGAATTGCCCTCTTGAAGTGCATTCTAATTAATTCATTTCTGAATCAATAGCATCAATTTCACTTCGGTGTGGCGGCAGAGAGGGATGGCGACCGAAAAGATGAAAGGACAAAAGGGAGAGAAAAGACAGATGAAGAGAAAACGCAAGCGAGGAAAACAAAAGGGGGCCGGAGAGAAAGCGAACGAGCGAATAAATCAATGGCTGACTTCTGTGTGGTAATGTAGACGGATGTATTGGTGTTAGTCAAACGAATGAATAAATGATCAAATAAGACAGACGGCATAAATGAAAGACTCATTAAGTTCCCCCGACCTGATGGATGAAATGGAAGAGAAGTAAGCACATGACTGCGTCCCTGACCTTCTTTATGTAGCGACACAGAGGTGTTAGACGGATGGAAGGAGAAAGAAAAAGAACAATCAATCCGGCCGAGCCTGAGAGAGTTTGACCTTTTTCTCTGTGGTGATGTACAGGTGTCGGTGGCTGGAATCGAACAGCAGGTTCTTGTTGACCTTGTCTCCCGTGACTTCGCCCGGCGCTCGCCCGTACACCTCAGGGTGTGCCGACAGATGCACCTTCAGCACCTACAGGAACACAAAAACTGCATTAGCACGCATTTTAATTCACCCTGCAACCCTGGTTTTCCCTGCCTCCAACGTAATAAACGCCACTTTTTCTGTACAAAATACACGACGACATTACAGCACAGGACACAGAACAGACAAGAGAGAGATCTGTTGGTGGTAAGTTCATCTTTCACAGGACAGAGAGCGCATTCACAGCTGTTTCAGACAGTTTGTACTTCAATTTAGGGTTATTTTCTAAAACGTGTTAATGCTTAAAATGGTAATTTAGCAAAAATGCAAAATACTGTTGTTATTTCAGCAGCTAGTGTGATGCTCTTTATATCAAAGGGCACAGAATTATTTTTCTGGAAAACAGTGTTGCTTGGTATTAAATAAATTGTTATTTCCTGAGAAATGTCCTTGAAAGAACAGTTAAAATATTGCAAGTAAATATTCATAAATGTACTATTAGAAACTTTATTCCTCCTGTTTTTCTAACTGAATGTTCCAATTTCCAACCATATATTTGAAAATTTTCTCTATAATTAGTATTAGTACTAAGTTACACAGTCCTTACAAAGTACACAGTTCCTTTCCACAGTTAAGCACACCTTTAATGTAGTCATGTTTGGGTTATAGAGTCTTTTTATTTTTGGAAACGTTTTGGTGCAGTCAGGGATTCAGAGGACTTCACTACAGTCTTTACAGTAAACAGAAATTTAACAGCATCATTACAAACTATTTCAATTTAGTTTGTTTACACATCTAGACAGCACCTCCTGTCTGGAGGTGACAGCAAAGTCAGCTGGGGAGTCTTTACCTCTCCAGTGGCGGTGCCCAGGAACGCCACAGCGTGCCTCATTTCCACAGCCACAGCAACAGCGGTCAGGTGACCCTTACGGACCAATGAGGGCTCCGCTGTTAAGGCGAACTCGGCCTTGCTGGCCAGTGGGGAGGGCAGAAACTCGGCCCCACACTTGTATTTGGCTATGTTATTCTGATGGAGCAGAACAGAAATGAAAATCAATAGTAAAACATATTTATATTTATTTATTTTATATTAAAGCAGAATTATTGGCTCATTGTCAATATTTCTCTCTCTGTTGTTTCAGTTTCTCTTTATCTCTCACACACAGGCAGATTTTCTCACCTGATTATTGCTGCTGCACAGCTCTTCAGACTTGGACGAGTAAGGCGAGTAGACAGCAGTGCTCTGGTTAATGACGCCGTTCTTGCTGTAACAGGCTTCTATTATCTCCATCAGCCTTTTATTAATAGAGCGCACAGGGTACATACCTACAAACAGGAGCACAAACACCGTCTGTGCCTCTTTCCTACAGTTTCTTCTGTTCTATTTAACACATGAGTCATGTTTTCTGGTAAACAATAAAATGTCAAACATAAAAACAAACAAAAAGTATTTAGAGAACACATTGCAGTCTGTAAAACCTTCATTATTTATAATATTATTTTCATAAAAGAAAACGTTATGCTGTTGTTGTCGTGAAACTTTGCATACAAATTAATAAAGTTATTTACAGCATTTATGACCACTGGCTTATCCATTTAAGACCATACTACTGTAGCACCACCTATATTGTAGTGTTGACAAATTTGGCGACCAATAAAAATGGTCGATAATGGAAAACATGAAATTTGTGAGAGTGAAAATGGTGATACTTTTTCCCCCCAAAATTTCCATTTATATTGTCCTCTAAATTGCAGAAAATCTGTATTTTGATCACCCTGGTGAGGTGGAAATGGTTGTATTGACAGCTTTCTCTGGCTTCGTGGAATAATTTTTGCACGATCTCACCACAAGCTTCCATTAAGAAGCTCTTCTGGAGTCATTTCGCATCATATCGAATGTAGATGTTTAAAGTTAAATCTTTCTGAGCACTTTAAATGTCCAGTGTGTAACATTTAGGAGGATCTATTGTCAGAAATTGAATGTAATATTCATAGGTATGTTTTCATTAGTGTAGAATCACCTGAATGTTGGAATTATGTTACCTTAGAGACAACTTCCATGGAGTCCACCATGTTTCTACTGGACAAACCAAACACTGGCTGATTTTAACGTGTTTTAGTGGCCATCATAGTTTCTCCTACACACTTTACAGCCTGTTCTTATTCCCAGGTCTTCAAATACAGACACAAGCGGCGTTCAGTTAGTTGGAACCTGAAACTTCACCGCTGGATGCCACTAAATCCTGCAAAAGACTTCTCAACCATGTTGGCTTGAAAAGCAACCGTTTAAGGTTAATAATGCTCATGATCCAAAGCTCCAGAAACGTTACTAAGTAAACCTTGTGGTGAGTTTGTTTTCTCAGCTGCTGTTTCAAGGTCAAGAATGAACTTTGAGCCTCCCGACTTCTAAACAGATTTGTGTTGAACAAAAGGGTAAATGTTCTGCCAACTAACAACCGTCAGGCAACACAAAATATCAGGAAAATCTGCCCGCATCAAGATGACACCTACACATTGCCGAAGTAGATGGGTCTTCATCAGAAGTGAAAGTGACAAACAGCACCTTGTCCGAGGCTGAAACTTGTCCATACTTGCCCGATTTGGTCATAGTCTGAGCCAAAACGTTGCCTGGTGTAGCTACATAAGCAGCCTGGGAGACGAGGAAGAGATAAAAAAAAATGCTGAATGTTAGATGCTCACACAAAAAAATACGAATTTAGCTGATACAACAGTACAGTGAGAGTGGAGACCCCATAAACTGAAGCTATTTCAAGTTCAAGAGCATGGTAAATCTAATTTATAAAGTTTTTCAGGGGGTCAGGATGCAGGCATTCTCAAAAAAGGTTCCAATTTAACACAAACTCATCCAAATGTAAAATGTCCAAATGTGTTTTTCCGAGTCACTGCTACCCTTTTAATAAAATGCTGACAGCCTATCCAGCGGCTGAGGAGTGTGTTATCATTACCTGAGCCTTGTTGTACTTGTTTTCAGCGCTACAGTTGAGCTGCAGCTCGGTGTAGGAGAAATAACCCTGATCGTCCTCGCACATCCTGGAGATGAAGGTGAAGTTCTTGGTGTCCTGAACGCCGAGCGTCCGCGAGAACACAAAGTACACAAAGCCGTCGTCTTTGAAGGCAAAGCGGAAGTCGTGGAGGTACCGCAGGACGAAGGGGTTGGCCTGGACCGCCGAGGCCTCGATGATGCTGTCGAAAACCACCCAGTCGCCGTAGTCCTGGAGGATGCGGGTGGAGATCAGCTTGGTGCTGTCATGGCTGCCGTACCCCTTACCGACCTGAGAAGGAAGAGACGATAAACTCATGTAACAAGGCAGTGGAAATAATTCAGACTAGTAGTTAAGAGTATATTTAACTACTTTTGTTCAAGTGAATATCTAGTTCTAGTATCTAAAGTGCTCTCCAAACCAAAAGTCCTTGTTTTATTATCTTTATGTGTTAAATCCAAGAGACTTAAAGCTCCATTATGTAATGTTTGTACCTAAAAATAAGGTGCAATATAGTGAATGAGGCCTTTGTGCCCCGTACGCCTTCTTGCATGTAACTTTGGCACCTGGTCGGGACAGGTGTGTAATGCTTCACGGCACTAAGTCACACACCGCAAACTATGTCACTGATTTTGGTGAAACTGGATCATATTTTATGGTTTTCTTCTGTTCCGCCTCAAGTTTTTGTGATTTATGGAGTGCTGAGAAATGTGGCTGCTGTTAGCTTGTTAGCTTAGCTGTACTGTCCTCGACTGGGTCTTCAGAGCACCGGGGGAGTGTTGGTGTTCACACTCGTAGCACAGGAGCTTTGGAGGGATGCTGACGGGGAGCGGAGGCTGCATCGTGCCAGAACTGGAGCCGGGCCAGCGGGCAATGTAACTGGGCTCGGCTGCTTCTATGGACATAGCTAATGGCTGATCTTGGACTGGCTTTTTGTCGTTAGCGAGAGCTTTTTGAAATAAGAGGCTGCAGACAGACGGCGAGCTGGCCTTCTTGCTGTTGGACTAGTCATTAATATCAACTGGCTTGCTACGTCTTGTGTTGTTGCACTTGCTTGATGTTCGACTGTGTCAGCAAAGATATACATCTTACATAGTGTTCCTTTAAGTCCCAAAATGAGGCCAGAAAAAACTGCAAACTTGAATCCCTGAAGACTTGATTTGACTTGAGAGCCGAAATATTAAGGCTCAAGTAAAACTCCAGAACAATAGTCCCCAGTCCTTGCCCTGCCACACAGCTTACACATTTAATCATTCAGCCTTTGCACTGAAAGGTCTTGGTTTTCAGTGAAACTCACAACTATTTCTAGGGAGTTTGTGTTCAAATGCCAGAAAGACTTCCATCTTACTGTTTGCTTATTATTCCTTGTCCAAGTTGAGGAGCTGCACTTATATATTATCTACGTTAACAATGGATCAAGCCACTAGACTGTGAAGAATGTGGAGCATTGAGCTGAATTGCCACAAATTTTTCAAAGGAGTTTGTGGCGACAAAAACAGCTAGAAGAAAAATGAATATTGGACTTGTGTGGACAGAATGTGAATGCTAATTTTACTTTTGCACACATTTTCTCCTTTTAAACTTCAGGTCCTTTTGCTAAAAAACTGCTGAGGGTCCCTCAAGGACCCCCTGCTGGTTTCCCAGTCCCCACAGCCCTCTATCCTACCTCTGCCTCTGCCAAACAGAGAACTACAGGAAGGTAAACCCTCTCCACACTCTGGGTAGAAATGCTCTGATTTGATTAGAGGCACCATAAAAAGCTTCTACATGTATGCTTTGAAGGAAAGGGAGAGCAGCAGACAGATCTCATGAAGATCAATTCACTGATCCTGTGTGAAGAAGTATGACAAATATGTCAATTTAATTGCTCCGTTCTCTACAAATTGCAATTTTATCGCATTTGCTCGCACAATATCTCAGATGGAGGTGATCATTTATATTTATTTTCTTATTTACCTCAGTGCTGCTGGAAGTAATAAGTGTGTGTGTGTGTGAGTTTTTTTCCTCACCAGGAACACGGTGAAGTTATCAGTGTCCTTGGTGAAGTATGACATCACTCCCACCACAGAGACGCGTTCCTCGGCGCTCGCCACGTACGACTTCTCTCCTTTGGTGTCGCTGAAGTACAGCAGCTGCTCCACGTTGCTCAGGTTCCTCAGAGAGCAGATGCCCCTGAAGACGCTGCCGCAAACCACCAGGACGTCCTTAGCCTCGTGGACCAGCAGCAGCTTGTTGTGGTTGTCGGTGTCCACGGCCTCCTCGCAGGCGTCGGTGACGGGCGGCGTGCACTGTCGGTTGTCCCTCTTGGGGCCCGTCTCGGTGCGGGACTCGAGCCCAAGGTCAGGGCTCAGCTGGTAGAGGGAGTTGACGGCGCCGACGTACAGGCGGCCCGTGCGGGGGTGGACCACCACGTTGTTGATGAGGGTGTCAGAGGGGAACTCTACGTTTTTACCCTGGGAGGGGGTGAGGTAAGTGGTTGCCAGGGTGACCAGGGCAAACTGCCACGCCCACCACCGCTCCATTATGTCTGGAAAAACAGAGAAAGGAAAGAAAAGTTGACATTTTAGTTGTTGTTTTTTTTACACTTTTACATTTCAAACGATGAAGAGAACGAGATAATTGTTATTTTTGATTACTCTTAATTATTGTTTTCATTTCTCACAGCCAAAAGTTGTCTTTGCTGTATTGTTTTTTTGCTCCTATGCCAACATAAGTTTCTTATATTGATACCCATGCTGTCACAGGGTGGATTATGCATTTGTTTTTATATTGTATTGTCAAACCTTTTGCTCACACTGCGAAGCAATTTCTCTCTGGGACACTAAAGTTCATCAATAATTAAAGACAAAACAGATTAACTGATCAAAACTGGTGATCCAAAATATGATTGACCGACTTATTGTTTAAAGTTCTGATATAGTAAACATTATGTAGTTGTGTCAATGTTCAAACAATAAGTTGGATTGATCGATTAGTGCATCTGTAGAAAATCAGTGACAGACATGCTGAACTTTGTTGCTTTATTCTGTTTTACTTGATTACAAATTGAATATATTTGAGTTTTTGACTGTTGGTTGGACAAAAAAACAAACATTTGGAGACATCATACTGTAAGTTATGGCCCCAAACTGTTTTGTGAACACAGTTTCTGACAAACAGTCCTGACAACAAACCCACTGAACTTGACTTCAGAGACAAAGGCAGTTAGTGCTCGTCCTCTAAACAAAGCAGAATCTCAACGACGCTCTGACATTGTGGCTCGGCACCGACAGCAGCAGAAACTCAAGGAGAAAAGAATGAACGCTGAGAGCAAAGAGAAACGAGAAGCAATAATGAGGAGCTTCTCATTAAACCCAGAACATCCTTTACTGGAGGAAAACGACAGCGGAGGAGGAGGAGGAGGTGGAGGTAACAGCCTAAAATGTGAGAGTTGCTGAGCCAGATTAGATTAGCAAAGACAAAAGAAGTGTGTGTGTGTGTGTGTGTGTGTGTGTGTGTGTGTGTGCAAAGAGAGAGACAGAGTGTAGCAATTAGTTGTCTGACATACTGAGTTTCTCCTTCCATTAGTCTGGATGGGTGTGTTTAATTATAGCTGCGGCCCGTGGCTGTAAAACAAGGCTGTGCGGTAGCGTCACGCTCGCTGTAATAACGTCTTTCTGCACAAACATCGCCCCGCTCTAATCTCACGCTGTTTACTAGTTATGCAACTATCAGCTTATTCTTGAATGTAAGCTGATCATCTCTCTCCCCCGCCCATAAATTTGTGCATCATAAAAGAAAATGTTTTCATTACAGCGTCATCGTCTCTGCCTTCTGTCCAATAAATCAAAAACTGCTTATAGTTGCCAATCGTGTTCATTTATTTAAGCGTTTCGTGATCAGGCGTTTTACTGGCCAATCACTGGCTTTTACAGCCGCTATCAGATAGTTCTGATTGGTGGTCAATTGACTGGCCCCCACCCCCTTCCCCCCCTTCGCTTTTACTCCCTCCAAATTGAATTCACTTCAGTTCGCTTCGTTGCAAAGGGATTTATTAGTGTGAAAAGACTTATCTCTCTAACCACCTGCTCGCCTAAATTACCTATCCACTGATATCGAGAGTCAGGTGGTCTTAATGGCTGCAATGCAGTGAGTTTTTAGAAAGTGTTACCAACACACATGCAAACGTTTGAATACACAGTCAGACAGGGAAACCTCTGTGTTTCCCAAAAGGATGGGAATATCGTTTGAGCATGGATATTCTTTCTTCACGTTTCAATCAATCAGTTTATACTTTCAGTTGGGTTGTAATGCAGAGACATCTGAAAGAAAGACCAAAAACATCGTACAATCGATCTGTATAAGCCGCCATATATATATGTATTTATGCAAATCATGGGGTAACCATGGTAACGCGTAGGCCAGGGATTTCCCCTGATCAATCAGACAGTCAGTCAAAAGCAGCTAAAATTGCAGTCTGTTCTGTTCTGTGGTCACTGATTAGATCCAACTCTTTTCTACTTTGGCCATATCAATAGATACATTTCCTTCCTTCATGAACAGTTAAAGATATTGGGCAGTGTGCTGATTGGATGTTATGATAGCCGCACGAACAGTTCCCATTTTTGAACCATTCATTTTAATTCTAAAATGTTTAAATGTTTAAAATGCTTATTTCATTACACTTCAGCAATCTCAGTATATTTGAATTCCAAAGTTTGTAGTATTTTGACAGTAGTATATATTTTTAAAAGTAAAAATTTGGATTACCTTTTGATTTGTAATGTTATTCTGAAGTATAGTTATATTACAGTATTACCTGTAACTGAAGATTATATCTATATATAATATAATATAATACATATTAGTAATAATAGCAATAATAATAAGATAAAATATCAATATTAGTATAACTAACTGATAAATAATATATTATAGTACAGTACAATATAATAAAATACAGAAGAAATAGACCAAATTACAAAGTACAGTAAAAATATTGTTTAGTAGTAATACAGTATTGTTCAATATACAGTAAATTGCATTATAGTACAGTTACAGCAGCTTATTGTTAATTTAAATTACAGCAACTTGCCACCAACTTCCTGTAAATATAGAAGGAAACTGACATTTATTGAAAACTGCCTTATGAGTTGATTTAGATCTATAAGAAACGTATAACGTTACCATGAAGGGCAGAAGTTCTACGAGAAGCAAAGAGTTTAATATACATGTATAAACATCAGTTCCAATGCTTAATTCTGCACTAAGCATTTAAAATGTGCTCGTTAAATGTGTCTGTACCACCTCAGTGTTTCGTTTGCCACTAAACTGGTCACATCCTTCTCTTTGCTTTGAGCTGCACGTTGACCCATGTGTCTGTGTCCCTGTGATGTGGCCTCGTCTCATTAAATTTCATCTCTCTCTTCCTCCTACACCACAGTCAAAAAGAAAAGGGCATAAAGACAGCAGGTATATTCACCTTGTCTGTCTCTTTCTCTCTCAGAGGGCCTGTTATGGATGTGTGCATCTGCCACATCAAAGGAAAATCATCTTTGGTTTCCACACGGGATCCATCTCTGCTCTCTGTCAGCCATCTTGCCCCTTTCTTTTCTCTCTGACTTATTTTCTCCCCTTTCATCCTCCTGCTTTGGTTCTTTAAGCCTGACTGGTGTCAGACCAGGAATAAACTGTGTGTCAAAGGTGTAAAATATGTATGTGTGTGTGTGTGTGTGTACGTTATTCTTCTATCCTTATGAGCAACAGCTTGACTTTAAGATCTTCAGCTATGTAAGGTGAGGACTTTTTGGCAGATCCCTGTTTAGGGTTAGTGTAGGATGAGAACGGCTGTGTATTGTTAAAGTGAGGTATAATGTTAGAACGTATTACTACTACTACTACTACTACATTATTATCAGTATTGAGAAGATCAGCAGCCTCTGTGCCAATAGGATGATATTTTTCAGCATACGGAGGGTTTTTTTCCCCCAATGATGCTGCTTTACCAACTAGAAATGATTCACACTGCTTACTCATCCAGTTGCCATCTTTGTTTGGTTCGAGGATTTGGGACAGCTTTTGCAAAATGAGTTGTACCGGCAGGACTAACGGGGCGACTGGGGATATGCCTCCAAAACATGTTCAATAATCTGCTGATTGAACGTGTTAAAACGTTAAAATCTCATGTAAGCCTGGTGATTATAGGATTGGCATAAAGTATGGTATTGATAGGCAGTTTCAACAGAATCTTATTGTACTTAATCCTACATTAACAGATTTTTTGGGCTACTTAGGGGCAGCGGAAAGAAGCTGCAAACACAACACCGACACCTCTAAAGATAAAATGGCAAATGTGCTAGCCTATTTGAAATTCTAGAAGAGATGGAGCAAGATGATCGTTAATGTGTCCACCTGATGAGTGTAAGTCCAACATTCACTCTCTTTTAGTCCTGTTTTTGGTCTCTTTAGCTGCTAAATGCTCCACTATGTTCACTATCTAGTTGCTTACTGTGTCAGTTTGTTGTTTGGTGCCTCAACCATACAGTAGTGTTGAGCTGAAAGACACTAAAACGCTGCACTGAGCGAAGGAAAACTGCAAAGTCCGATATAATTTCCCTCCTTTCACATACATGTAGTAATTTGAAACCTTTTTCATATAAAAATATCGATTATAGGTAGTCTCTCAAGCAAAAAAACAACCATTATCTCATTTCAGCTTCTTAAATGTGAAGCTTTACTGCTTTTCATCAACGGTTTTGTTTTGAAGGGGGAAGTTACTTCAGAAAAAAAAACATATATGGCTGGACTCGAGACCAAAGGCCAAGTCTGAGTGCAAATACCAACGAGTCCAAGACAAGCAGGGTTCCCACGCAGGAATTATCTTGGAAGTAATCTATGTTATCCTGGAAAATGATGTATATGATATTTAAGCCTCAGACTGCCTACGTATTTTGTTTGAAACTCGACTGATCGTAGGATAACTTGCCCGCAAGGACACTTCAAAGCAGGTTTACCAGACTTGGAACGAACTTGTAGAGACATGTTCGGTGTTGAGTCTATTTTGTCCGAAGCTGGTATCAGTATTCTCACAAAAGCCCAGCAAAAGAATCTTGTTGTTCTGGTTGATAAACACACAGAAATGGTAACTATAAGTGCAACAAACACTTTCTACTTCTTCTTCTAACAGGTGAATAGGTGAGAGGATGAAATTGGCTTACCATCCATCGGTCATGAACCCTTAATCACTAAAAAAGGAGGTTAAATGTGTCAATACTAGGCCTATGAGTAAATTATATGATGTTTGCGAGCAAGTGCTGTCCTCTATTGTGAAGAAAACTCCTGGAAAATGTCCCGGAAGGGTCCTGGAAAATGATTTCTTAAAAAGAGTGGGAACCCTGACAGTTTGAAACAACTCAAGTACTACAGTGCTGGTTAATTGTTTTAAGCAGTACACCTGTATAGAAATCCAAGCACTCATTTATTCATATTTTTTTTCCATTTCTAACTCATCTGTATGTATTTAGGGTTCAGCATGTCTCGGTTTTTAGG